GTCTCCTGCAGCTGCTCCACCGACGCCGTGTCCTCCATGCCCGAGCGGTCTGCGGGAGCAGGGTGTCAGGGGCAGAGCAGGGACACACCGGTTCCACCCCCAAAACCCTCTGATCCCACCCCGGCATCACCCCAATCCCACCCTTATCCCTGAACCCCCTGATCCACATCCCACCCAACCCCTCAATCCCCGCTGAATCCCACTCTGAACCCCCTATCCCAGCCACAATTGCCCCAGACCTCTTGCTCCCACGTCTGCTCCGCATGATTTTGTCCCTGAACCCCCTGATTGTCTTTCACCTTCATGACCTTGATCCCACCCCCCCAAACTCACAAATCCCCCTCGAAACCCCTGATCCTTCACCGAAATCCTCCAATCCTACCCCTGAACACTCCCCAAACCCCATGATCCCAACCCCAAGCTCTCCGATCTCCTCCCAAACTCCCCTGATCCCCCCCCCCAAACCCCCCAACCCCCCCCCAAAAACCCCTGTGCCCACCTGCCGAGACGAGGACGACGGCGGTGAAGAGCCCCAGCTCCTCGTCGCTGAGCTCGAGGGCGCTGAGCTTCTCGCTGAAGTCGAACATGGCCCCGAGCAGGTCCCCCATGCCCATGGCCCAGAGCTCCTCCAGCCCGTACCGCGTGCGGCTCATGAACGTCACCGTCTGCTCCTTCACGTCGAACAGCGACGCGAACCGAACCATCAGCACCTGCGGGGTGGGCAGCGCGTGAGGCACCGGGACGGGGCACCGCGGCAGGACGGGGGCACCGGGGGCACCGGGGGCACCGGGCTCCATGCCACGGCTCCCAAATGTGGGGCACTGCAGTGCCGTGGGGCTCCGTGCCAGCCCACGGGGCATCGTGCCACGCCAGGGGCTCTGTGCTCCGTGCCACAGTTCCCAAATGTGCGGTGCCGTGACGTGGGGCACCACGCCATCCCATGGGCACCACGCAATGCTTCATGCCAGTTCCCATATACATTACATTGCCATGGGACACTAGGCAATGCCACGGGGGCTTCATGCCAGTCCCTGACTCCCAAATGTGGGGCACCGTGCCGTGGGCATCACGCTCCATACCACGGCTCCCACGTGTCGGGCACTGCAGTGCCATGGGCACCGTGGGACACCAGGCAGTGCCACGCTCCAGTCCATGGCTCCCAAATGTGGGGCACCGTGCCATGCCATGGGCACCGTGCCACGTCATGGAGCATCATGCAGGGCCGAGTTCTGCGCCACGGCTCCTATATGTGGAGCACTGCAATGCCATGGGGGTCCTGCCATGATCTGGGTCACTGTGCCCATGCTTTGGGGCTCCATGCCAGTCCATGGAGCATCGTGCAATGCCAGAGGGATCGTGTCAAGCTTCGGGGCACCACGCAGTGCCGTAGGGCACCATGCCCTGCATCAAGCCCTTGCCATCCCAGGACATACCTCAAAGGTGCCAGCCTTGAGCAGGGTGACCTGGTCATGCTGGGAGAGCGCCTGGAAGCCGGGAATGTGCTTGGCGAACTCGACGACCTCGCGGACGGCGGGGGTGAAGCTGAGGGAGAAATCCTCCCAGATCTCCTGCACGGAGCGCCCGCTGCGCCCGGGGACGTGGCTGTTCATGGGACACGCCTGCAGGAGGTGGGGGGGGTCAGCGGCCACCCGGGGGTCCCCCAGCCCCACCACCACAGCGGGGAGCGGGGGGGGGGGCACCCGCAAGGGGATTAGTGCAATAAGCAGCTAAAAATACCCCGCGGGGAGCAGGAGCCCCCGGGCGCTCACCGGCAGGACGTCCTTGGGGCCGCGGGGCCAGGGGCACCCCCGCGGGGCCGGGGGCTCGGGGTAGGCGGGGGGGCAGAGCCGGGGCTCGGGGGGGCCGGGGGCCCAGGCGGGGGGCGCGTCCCAGCGCAGGAGGCCGCCGTCGCGGGGGGGGGGGGGTCCCAGCTTGTCGTGGGCGTAGATGAAGATCTCCTTGTGGGCCTTGGCCACCTGCGCGATGACGTCCTCGGTGGCCCCCCCGGGGCTGGGCGAGCGGGGCGGCGTCAGCTGCTGGGGGAACTGGGAGAAGCAGGCGGGGGGGGCGAGCGGCGGGGGGCCGGGGGGCGGCGCGCGGCCCCCGCCCACGGTGGGACCCTCGCCAGGGCCCGGCATCGGCGGCGGGGCGCTGGCCATGCCGCCCATGGCGCTCTGCATCTCCGCCAGCATCCGCTGCTTCTCCCGCTTGGGGATGCGCCCGAAGCGCACAGCTGTGGGGGGACACCGGCGTTAGGGGGGACACCGGTGTTAGAGGGGACACCGGCGGCAGAGGGCACGGCGACACCCCCCCCACACCCAGACCTGTGCCATGGGGGGCCAGGGGCTGCCAGGAGCGGGGCTGCATCCCCAACCCTGTCCTGGAGGTGATGCACAGCCCTGGGCACCGTGGGACCCACCCCAGGAGGGGGCAGGGAGCCCTGGGCATGGGGTTTCTATCCTGGGAGGGGATGGAGTGCCCTGAGCATGGGGGGGACCCATTCCAGGAGAGGACATGCCACCCCAGCCACGGTGGGAACCCATCCCAGGAAAGGGGGGGGACACATCCCACGGGACAGGCAGAGCACCCAGCACAGCCGGGGGGACCCGACTCTGGAGGGGATGTACAGCTCTGGGCACAGGGGGTGGCATCCCAGGAGGGGACACACAGCCTGGGCACAGGGAATCCCACCCCCAGAGGAGCCCCCCGGCTTGGGGAGGGTTGCGGGGGTCCCTCTGAGCTCACCATCACGGGACATGCCGACCAGCAGGCACTTCTTGAAGCGGCACTGCTGGCAGCGGTTGCGGTTGATGCGGACGATGGAGCAGTTCTCATTTTTGAGGCACTTCTTGTACTGAATATTCTGCTGGATGCTGCGGCGGAAGAAGCCCTGCGGGGTGGGAGGGAGGGTCACTGGGGGTCCCCCCAGCGTGACAGGGGGTCCGTGCCCCATCCCCGGCCCCATCCCAGTACCTTGCAGCCCTCGCAGGCGTGGACACCGTAGTGGAAGCCGGAGGCGACGTCCCCGCACACTTTGCAGAGCAGCACCATCCCGTTGAGCTCTGCAGGGGGACCGGGGTCAGCGGGGTCCCCGGGTGCCCTCGGTGGGGTGGGGGGCCCGCCCGCCGCCCCCCCGTGAGCCCCACTCACTGGTGACGGTGCTGCCGGCTTTGCTGGGTGAACTGCGGCGCCGCTCGTCCGCGGGGACCGGCTGCACCCCGGGGAAGTTCACCGAGGAGCCGTACGACGACGAGGAGGAGGAGGTGGAGGAAGAGGAGGAGGAAGAAGGGGAGCCGTCCTCATGGGGGGCCAGCGAGCCCCCGCCGTAGGCGCGGGAATCCTGGAGGGAGCCGGTGGGCGACGGGGGGAAGTACGTGGGGAAGGGCTGGGATCCCGATTGGGAGCTGCTGTTGGAGCTGTCGCTGCAGAGGGAGACGGGGCTGGTCCGGGTGGGAGAGGCGCCGTTGGAGCCCACGTAGCTGATCACCCCACCTGCGGAGAGCGGGGGTCACTCATGCACTGAGCTGCGCCGGGCTCAGCCTCTCCCAGTTCATGGAGGGGGGAACCCTGGGAGGTGGGTGGGATCCCCAGGGAAGCACTCAAATCCACGGGAAACCCACGGGGCCACACATGTACCGAGCTGTGCCGGGCTCAGCCTCCTCCCCCACAAAACGGGGGACTCCCCCATGAGGGGGACTGCAGCCCCAGGTGGGGTGGGATCCACAGGGAAGGATCACGAATGCGTCCTGGATCCACGGGCATCCCCGTGGACCACTCATGTACCGAGCTGCACCAAGCTCAGCCTCCCCCAGCCCAGGGAGGGAAAACCCCCTGGAGGAGGATGGAAGCCCCAGGCGGCGGGGGGGTCCCCAGGGAAGCACCCCGGATGCATCCCGGATCCAAGGGCATCCCGCAGCGCCGCACGTGCACCGCCCACCCTGAGTCAGGCACCGCACCCACGGGGCGCCACGGGTGCCGGGCCCACGTGGGCCGGGGACGGCCGGGTTTATCCGGGTGCGTGCCGGCCGGGGACACAGGCAGGGCACCCCGGAATTGCCTGCAGGAGGAATGTGGGTTGGGAACCCTTGGGAGAGGCGAAATCAGGAGGTCACAGGAGTTACTCCCGCCGTCCTTGGCTCCGTGCCCACAGCACAGCCCGGCTCCCACCCCACAGCTCCCGGTACAGCCCCATGGCACAGCCCCCTGTGGCACTGGGGTGCTCCCAGTGCAGCCTCCTGTGGCACTGGGGTGCTCCCAGTGCAGCAGCCCCACGGCACCTGGGATTATCCCAGCACAACCCTCTTATTTGGGGAGATACATCCCCACTGCAGGGCTGCGGAGCTGCGTGGGGGACCCCCAAAAAAGTGGGGAGCAGTACAGGGTGTGTGTGGGGGTGCGTGTGCGTGGCCCCTGGCTGAAGTCACAGTCATCGTCACCCCACTCACGGGGCAGGGACAGCAGCACCGGGACACGACTCCGGGCTGGGACACGTGGATGGCGATGTCGGGGACACACGGGATCACCGGGGCCATGTGTCTCCCGCCGCACACGGTGCCGCCGGCACAGATGCCACGCGCCGGAGCCAGCTTGTCACCACTTCCCCTTCACTGAACCACCTCCAAACGCGGTCACTGAATCGGGGACAGTGGGTCCCAACCCCACGACAGCTGATCCGAGGGACCCCCAGCTGCTGATCCACCAAAATAATGGGGGGATCCCCTGCACCCCGAAGACCCGGGACCCCCCCCAAGGGGGTCCCGGGGCTTCGGGGTGCACAGGATCTCCCCC